GGGTCTGATGGCGGCGGATCCCATCCGGTTAAACTGGAGGCAGGTGACCTCGGCCAGCGGTCCGGTCCCTCATTCCCGGCACGGACACCGCGCTGTGGCCATCCGGGAGCTGATGATCGTCTTTGGGGGCGGGAACGAGGGAATAGCAGAGGAGCTGCACGTCTATAACACGGGTGAGAGGAGGCCTGATGACCGGGGCGGGAGGAGGCCTGATGCGGTCCGTGTACTGTGGGGTCGGGGACCGGGCTTAGGCCTTGCTCTTTTCCCGTTATGTCCGATGACTGAGCTCTGCGAGTAGCCGGACGAGAAGTTACCGGGCGGAATAAAGTTGTTTGTAGTCACACCTATCTGTACACACACATACCGTATGAGAGAGTGATAGGACTGCATGAGGAAGCATGTCACTGAGCATTCACCGTGTGCTATCTTTCGGAGTGTGAAGATGTCACTGAGCATGCTCTGTGTGCAAACTATATGAGAGGACATAGAGTATGATGTGGGGCTGTCACTGAGCATTAACTGTGTGGTATCTACCTGAGTGTGAGGATGTCACTGAGCATTCTGTGTGTGCATACTATATGAGAGGACATAGAGCATGATGGGGACAAGTGTGGGGCTGTCACTGAGCACTCACTGTGTGCTATCTACCTGAGTGAGGATGTCACTGAGCATTCTGTTTGTGCAAACTATATGAGAGGACATAGAGCATGATGGGGACAAGTGTGGGGCTGTCACTGAGCACTCACTGTGTGCTATCTACCTGAGTGAGGATGTCACTGAGCATTCTGTGTGCAAACTATATGAGAGGACATAGAGCTTGATGGGGACAAGTGTGGGGCTGTCACTGAACATTCACTGTGTGGTATCTACCTGAGTGTGTGAGGATGTCACTGAGAATGCTCTGTGTGCAAACTATATGAGAGGACATAGAGCATGATGGGGACAATTGAGGGAGCATGGGCACGTCTTCCTGGGCAATCATTACATGCCGCCTGGTATCGGTATCAGCGAGTACCGGAAAAAAAATATCGGTACTCGATACCGAAAAACCACCAAAAAGCAAGCAGCAATGCACAGGACACCAACATACATTGTCCAGCATATTTTAATGCGTGTGGCCAGACCTTTGCGTCTTTGTTTGGCATGTTTCCTTTGAAATAAATAGAAATGCATGCGTTATGACGCGTGTTGACATTCCGTACAAAGTGCATTGCACTGGGCACGCACATCAATGTTTTTTTTAATGCATCACCATTGATTTCAATAGAAAAATCATCAGGGAAAAAAGAGCTAGGTGGAAATCCAGTGTAACACTTTGCTATTGTTTACATGGGCCCATTTACAGTTCTCCATTGCAGTGCGTTACCGCATGTTAACATACTGGTGCTTACTTACATGTGTTGGCACCTTGCAGTTAGGGTGCCATTTTTTAATGGCACTCCCATTACACTAAGGCTAAACACCTCCAACGCACATGCATTGCAACACACAAGCATAGTAACGCACTACCGTTTGTTGTGGTGCGCTGCATGAGAAAAAATGCTTCATTTCCATTTTTTGTTTGCTTGGACCATTTATTAGACTGGGCTGCTTTAACACAACACACATTGACAAGTTTCAAACCTAACTTTGACATGCGTACGCAACACACTAGACCTGCAAAGTGAGAATGGGCTCCCAACATTTAAAATGTGTGACAAGTGAATGATGGTGTGGGGACAGTATACAGTGACAGCCAGCAATGTAACCCCCAACCCCATCAGCCTGGCACCCTGTGCTTCCGGTTCCACCGTTCTGTGACCTTTCAGCAGCCTAGTCCAATTACATGAGGTGACAGCCAGGTCGGGGGCCCTGATCCTGGGTTGCTGTGCTCGGACACCTCGCTCAGTACCAGTACTGGCACAAAGGTCAGCAGAGAAGACATTGCATTCCCTCCCTGACGCACATGGCGGAGGTTACCAACCCCTGCTATATAACACAGCTATACATAAAACATCTATACAATGTTGTTTACAAGGTTACTATACATGCTTCAACTTGCTGAGACTGCAGTGATTGTTACAGCTGGCAGAAGCCTGGTATCAATCATGTTTTTTCATTTTTCATACTTGTGTTTCCTAACAGTTACGAATCAGTGGTTCCTCCCAGCGGTTAGAGGAGATATTCCCCCAGGTTGTGCTGCCCATGGATTTGTCTGTGATGGGACAAGGATCCTGGTTTTTGGAGGGATGGTGGAGTATGGAAGATACAGCAATGATCTATTTGAATTGCAGGTAGAGTATGGTATAATTTCCTGTTTCAAAAGGGACACTACTTTTAAAGGATAAATATAGCTCCATAATATCTCCATTTTCATATTTAATTAGTTGTCTAGAGCCTCTAGGAAGTATATTCCAGTGTATCAAAAAAAGAACAAAAATGTAAAATATTGTAGCTTACCAGTCTATGGATGTGTCTGCATTCATTTCCTTTTTTCAGGCTATGTATGCTTTGTACAGAAAATATATGTTAATCTTACTTATAGGAGAACTATGAGGTGAGTGAAAATCACTCAGCCTCATAGTTCGAGCCGACGTGTGACAATGAAACTGTCACACGTCGGCTCAATAGATCGGGAAGTGAGCTAACACATACCGTTGCTCGCTCACTTCTCGATCATCTCCCTGCAGAGAGCCGTGACTCTCACTCACAGCTCCCCTAGGGGTCTCCAAGACCCCTGATGGAGACATCAGGGGTCTCCAAGACCCCTGATGTCTCCATAAAGAAGATCTGTCATTGTATATAGCCCCCTATGTGATAGTAATAAAGTTTAAGTGTAAAAAATGAAAGTCTCATTAAAAAAACACCCAAGAAAAAAATTAAGTCCCCTGCCCCCCCCGTGCACACACATATAAACTTAAAAGAGAACTATGGGATAAGTGTTTTTTTCCCCATAGTTCTCTTAAGGGTCACGGGAGCCAGAGCTCAGTATATCGTGGGCTATTGCCCGCGATATACTGAGAGCGCCGAGACGGATCCCGACAATGCTGTTGAGATCCACCCAGCTGTGTGAGTGACAGCTGGATCTGCCTATCTAGAGGCAAAGCCAGCTGTGCCCACCCCCTTCCCTGTCTGTTCCTCCATTCAGCGCTAGAGGATCAGAGAGGGGAAGGGGGAATCCCTGCGGGGATCCTTTCTCTGCATGGAGATGATCGGGAAGTGAGCGGGCAACGGTATGTGTTCTCTCACTTTACAATTGGTGGCTGACTAAATACTTTTTTGCCCCACTGTATACAGCCGACCTGTGACAGCTTCTTTGTCACACTTCGGCTCTTACTATGAGGATAAGTCTAAATCACTCGCCTCATAGTTCTCCTCCAACGTAGGGAAAACAGGTTTTTTTTTCAAAGTGTTCTGTACTAAAAACCCCAGTAGTGATTAAATACCACAAAAAGAAAGCTCTATGTGTCCCTAAAAAATTGTATAAAATGAATTTCAGTACAGCGTTTCATGACGGAATAAATGTCAAAGTACTGCAGCGCTGAACACTAACAAGTGGCCTGGACAGGAAGGAGGTTTAACACCTCGGTCAGCAAGTAGTTAAGTAGCAGGCGGGCTAGTGCGTTGTGGCAGATGTCGGAGCTGTCACTGTTTACTTTTTTTCTTTCTTTACAAAATTATGATATAGAAGTGAAGGTTCCTACAGGCACTAGATGGTGGCTGGCTCTGCATTCATATTCTGGTTGCCAAGCAGATAGTGAGTAGATAAACAAACCACTTGCGTGAGAGAGGGGAAGTACTGCAGACTGTGGCCTGTCATGAGGTAAAACAGCATTTGACTGGGAAAAAATGCATTCTGCCAGATCAGTTCTTCCTCCGTGCAAGCTGGACCATTAGGCATCGGGGAAGGCCTATAGCCTTGAATGGCTGGATTCTGCAATCCTTCTTTAATAGCTTTCAAATTGTCATGTATACCTGACCACAGTTTTCATGCTTCTTGGGATGTTATAAGGTCTACGTGTACACAGTTACTTAAATCTTTTTGTTAGCATTAAAATATTATTAAATAGCTATAAAGTAGTTAAGAAAATCATGTTTGTTTCTCCATACAAAACGGAAGCATGTGTGTTAAATTTACATGTCTTAGGTAAAACAAATTGAATTTTTAGGTTTACTTTTCAGGCAAGTCGCTGGCTGTGGAGGAAATTAAAGCCTCAACCTGCTTCTAACGGATCCCTGCCTTGTCCTCGACTGGGACACAGCTTTTCCCTCCATGGCAATAAATGTTATTTGTTTGGCGGCCTGGCTAACGAGAGTGAGGACACCAACAACAATATTCCTAGGTAAAGAACTTTTTGGTCTTTTCACTGCTGCTTTTAGATTGCTATGTTTGCTGAGGTCTGTTTTCCCTCCATGTCATTACTTGATATGTGGATTGTGCCTTACCCTACTGCAAACGTATTTGGCTTAACTTAAAGGATAATTAAAGCCTCGGGTGTTTTTGCATATATCTACTGCTAGCAAGCAGTAGATATATGCTTAAAGTGTAAAAAAAAAACGTTTTGAAAAGGGTTAATACTTACCCCGTCTTCCCCGCGCTCCCGTCCGAAAATGTGAAAAATCTCGGGCGGCCGCAAAGCATCTTGGGGCGGGCGCATGTGCAGATCACATTTTCGGCCGGGACGCGACGAGGGACACAAGATAAGTCTATGGATGCGTGCACCCGAATGCAGACACCGTGGGACAGGAAGTGCTAGCAAGGACAGAGGAGTCAGCGCTGGATCGGAGACGCACAGCAGTGCTGGAGAGAAGGCTGAAAAGGACAGGAAAGAAGATAGGATTAAGAGACATCATTTTAAGGTAAGTGTTTATTTAATTAAACATTGGGGGGAGGGAAAACATTTTTGACTTTAATGTCACTTTAACCTCTTGCCGTCCACCCGTAGTAAAAAAACGGACGGACGGCACTGCAGCATCTGCGGGTTGCCGTCTCCAGACGGCAATTTTTTTCTGCTTGCGCGCGCCCCCTAGCGGGCACGCACGGGCAGAAAAGACCCGTCCAATGCGAACACCCGATACCGGGTGTTTTACCCGGGGATTCAACTGGGTAAAAAAAAAAAAAAAAAAAATACGAGTCGTCGATTTTCCCCTATTAACTATCAGAAAATCGAGAGTTTCAAACTAAATTCTAACCATGTATACCCTAATTTAATTTATACTGGACTATCCAATACATTTTGCTGATACATTGTACTTTAAATTTTGCTGCTGCTTGAACATTTGCAACTTAGTCAGGGATGTGGAATTTGTATCGCCTGGGACATGCAGTACTGGGTGGGTAATTTTTTTTCTACATTTAGCCCTGCAGAGCTAAATGTAGATTGTGGGAGCCGCTGCTCGTTTAGTGCAAGTGATTTCAGATCACTTGTATCAAGCAAGTAGCAATCTTGTGTGTTTAACCCAGCCCCCGCTGTTGGGTTTTCTGGGGGACCTAAATCCACGGCAAATGAGCTCAGGGTGGAGAGCGGGCACTTATTGGTCAGGTGACCTCGCTGACCAATGAGAAGCGCTATTTAGCACGGTTAAATACTGTTTTTATTTGAAACAATTTTTTTGTATTGGGACAAGTAGATTGTGATGATGGACAAGTAAATTGGGCCCCCACTTTAGCCCTTGGACAAGTAGTTTTTTTTTTTTTTTTTTACATTTCCACAGCCCTGTTAAAGTGTAAATGCAGTTTCGGCGTAGTTACAGGTATTGTTTTACGTCCTTCCACCTGTCCCCCATCCAGCGAGATGTCGACTGTGCATCCCTCTCAATGCAATACAGACACCTGTCAGAACCTTAGTACTAGTGGTTGCAGCTTTCATATTATTGAAAGTCAAGCTCTAGACAGGAATTATTTAGTTTGTAATAATACATTTTCAAAACAAGTACCGTGTTTCCCCGAAAATAAGACACTGTCTTATTTTTTTTTTTGCACGAAATAAGACACTAGGTCTTATTTTCGGGGGATGTCTTACCTGGCTTGGGGAGGAGTGGACGATGTCCCGGAAGGTGGCGTGCTGTTGCCGGTCCCGGAGGATGTCGCTTCCATTGTGCGTGTGTGCGTGCGGGAGCTGCGGCTGGCGTGTGGGCGGGGCAGGAGCTGCGTGCGTGCGTGAGCTGCGGCCGGTGGGCGTGTGGGCAGGCGTGTGGGCGGGGCAGGAGCTCCGGCTGGCGTGTGGGCGGGGCTGGAGCTGCGGCAGGCTGGCGTGTGGGCGGGAGCTGCGGCCGGTTTTTACACAGTTTATGTGCCGCTACCCCGAAAGTAAGACCTAGCGGATCTCTGTAATATAAGACCTGCCACCGAACTAGGTCTTATTTTCGGGGTAGGTCTTATATTACACAAATCCCTGAAGATAGTGCTAGGTCTTATTTTCGGGGAAACAGGGTAACCTTTATTATTGGCAGAAGCTAAACATCATCCTTTGTCCAGTATTATTAACCTATGGAAGCTGTTTGTTCTTTCCTGAAACTGCCCAAAATATAGTGCTACATTGCATGCTAGTATATACTGAATACTGAGTGCAGAGATTGGTCAGCCAGCACATGATATATGTGCATGGTTAGGGGGAAAAAAGCCACAGGAGCATGATTCTATTGAAAGTTGTAGCTGTGTAAATAGCCTGCCATATTATTTTCCTAATTCTAGATATGTTAATATTTATCGCACACTAGGTACTTAAATGATTTATATGAACTTGAGTTACGTCCAGGAAGTGGAGTGGTTGGCTGGAATATTCCACAGACCAAGGGAACACCTCCATGTCCACGAGAGTCCCACTCAGCTGTCATATACAGCAGAAAGGATAATCGGAAATCTAAGCTTTATATCTTTGGAGGGATGTCCGGATGTCGTCTTGGCGACCTGTGGGAGCTTGAATTTGGTGAGCTTTGGAATATTGTTTTTTTTTTTTTTGAGGAATGGTATTGATGCTGGAATAATTTTATTGTGCATGAATACAGGGGAATATTAATGCCCAGTTTCTAACCGTCTAACCTTTTTTATTGCTTTCAATTTACATATTTGCTTTTTCGTATATGGGATAGTACCTTCAGGTAGTGATTTTACTGGAGTACGAAGTACAAATAGAATCCAAGACAGTCTTCAAGGAGAACTAGGAGGTGAGTGCTTTTCACTCACCTCATAGTTCTAGCCGAACTGTGACAATGAGACTGTCACAGGTCGGCTCAGTAGATCGGGAGGCGAGCGAACACATACCGGCGTTTGCTCACTTCTCGGTCCTGTCACGGCTCTCTGCCGTGACAGGGGAGGGGCTGGATTTCCCCCCTCCCCGCTCTGATCCGCCAGCGCTGACTGGCAGAACGGACGGGGGAGGGGGCGGGTACAGCTGGCTCTGCCTCTAGATAGGCAGAGCCAGCTGTCACTCACGCAGCTGGTCGGATCCAGACATAATTGTCGGGATCCGCTTCAGCTGCGCAGCAGCTCGCGGTATACTGCGGCGTCTCGGTATACTGCGAGCTGTAGCTCGCGGTATACTGAGCCTAGGGTGACGGGAGGACGCTAGTTTGTGTCCTCCCGTTACCCTAAGGAGAACTATGGGGAAAAGCCTTAGGGCCTGTTCACATGAGATCAGGTGCTGATCAGCAGACGTGGAGCTGCTGATGCAGTGCGTTTTTGATGTGTTTTCGGTCCGGATGCTGACGGTTAATTTTTTGTCAACGTTGATGATATCATAATAAGTGGAGCAAGAATACAATTTTTTCTTTTTTTTCCCCCTTAGCTGCATTGCGTTGCGTTTCCGTTGCGTTTTCGTTGCGTTTCGTGCGCGTTCGTGCGTTTCTGGACCGGACAAAATGTGACTTGCAGTATTTTTTCTGTCGTAAGCTGAACGGACTGCGCACGTGAGAACTTTAGCCCATAAAACACATAGGGATACATTGGGATGCATTTTGAGTGCAGCAGCGTACGGAGCCGGTCAGCACACAAAACGGACGTCGTGTGAACAGGCCCTTAACCCCATAGTTCTCCTTTTAAACTTTAACTTCACCCAAAGAAAAAAAGGCCTCTAAATAAATGCCATTTGTACAACGTAGATGACGGGCATGTGATTGAATAGCTCACTCACTAGGTGTTTAAGTTTATTCCATGGCATTTGCTACACCAGAGCACCTACCTGTGGATATTAGGGCTTTTTTTGGTTACTGTCCCTTGCCAACAGTAGTAGATAAAGATTTCCCACGGATGCATTCCAGATAATGACAAGAGAAAATAGCTTAGGCATTTCACAAGAGAAGAAGCACAAGGGAGGGGCAGTCCTGATAAATGTTTTGTCCTTATTTTACCTTATCGAGCTTTCAGCACAGCTGAACATTTTGTAGTGACAAAGTAATTGTTTACTTCACTCTGCACACTTTTAGTTAAAAAAGCTACATGATTGCTATTCTTCTCATTTTTTACATTTCCTCTTTTTTTTTATAGAAACTTTGACCTGGAATAGTCCAGAAGCTAAAGGAGCAGCACCGTTACCTAGAAGCCTTCACACAGCTAATGTGATAGGGAATAGGTAATTTCCCTTTTGAGATAGATAGATAATCTAATATTTTAATTACTTGAAGGGAATATGTCAATTCAGTAGATGACATTCATACATACACTATGTGGCTTTAAGTATGTGGACACCCTAAACAAATACTGAGATCAGATGCACAAGACCAGGTTTATAGACCTAAACTGTTTGGTGTGGAGGAACATGAGTGGTTTGCACAGAGCCCTGACCTCAACCTTGGTAAGCATCTTTTGAATGACTGAACACCAACTGCATGCCAAGTCTTTTCATCTGACATCAGTACTTGACCTCACAAATGTATTTTTTTGGCTGAAGAGGCATAGATTTGCACAAACTCGCTTGCAAATCTCCTAGAAAACATATCTGGAAGAGTGGAGGCTGTTATAGCTGTAAAAAGATGTGGATTGGGGTACGGCAACTCCATATGGTTTTGCAATAGGATTTCCATCTAATTCGTATAAGAATGATGGTCGGGTGTCCACATATGTCTGGCTGCATAGTGTACGTACACATTCATAAATATCTAGGTTTTTGTTAAAAACATGAATGGGTTTAGTTATATTGAAATACTTAGTAATATATTGATTAAGTCCTACTTCTGTTTTGCAACTGGGGGTTTATGCCTCCAGTAGTAATTTCTCCTCTTTTTGACTCTTAGGTGATCTCATGCCCCCACTTTTTCCCCTCTATTGCTCAACCTTTGTCCAGTCTCCACCTCCCCTCTCTGCTTCCATTTTCCCCAGCCACAGCTAACATTTATGCTACCCTGGCTACCTCTTGCAGATCACCTCCACTGCTTCTAGTCAGCCAGGCTTTCTGCCCACTCCTTTACCTAGAGGGATGCAGGTTCTCCCCTGAGCTAAGGTGTGGAAAGGCAAGACCACTGCTCCCTGCATATCTGCTTTCCGCCAGCACCTTGGCTGCACACATCCTGCTAGCACCTCTGTCTTCAAAAATCCCATTAGCAACAGGGTATATGGGAGCATAAGCTGGAAGTCATCTAGGAGCTATCATGGGGGTACTGACAGATGCTGAAGTGGATGAATAGGAGCTGTGAGTGGGCACCCAATTTCACACCCACCATACACCTAACTCATAGCCCCAATCAACCCCCTACCCTCAGAGCGCATCCCTCCTGACTCGGAGCCCACCTTACACGGCCTCCCCACATCACAGAGCATTTCTCCCTGGTTCTCCCATTCTTTATTCTCACTACATTCCAACCCAGTAACCTTACTTTCCACTCATACTGCTTACGTTTCTGGTTACAGCACTCCCCAACTCTGTCGCAACGTTACCACTCTGACAGTCCTCTCCACTCTACAAACTGCTCTACAACACCTGTTCTGGAGTAGACACTGTTGCTCGTTATTGTCACTGTTTGATAATTCAAAATTAAGTTTTTGTAACCTAAATAATTTTGTGTCCTCGCGTTACCCTAAGGAGAACTATGGGGAAAAACACTGACCCCATAGTTCTCCTTTTAAATGTTGAAAAGAGGAATGAAAACCATCCTTTATGTCTAATTACATTGTATCTTTTGTACTGGGTTTTGTCATTTGTTAATCAATGTTTTTAAATATGATCTGGCTTCATTTTTGATCTGTATGTTGGAAAAGCATTGGATATTTTTTTCAAAAAAGGTGCTCTCTCTTTCTATCTTAATGCATAGTTTGATCTGTTTTTTAGAATGTATATATTTGGTGGCTGGGTTCCCCAAACTGCAAATGGTGACAACTCGCCTGCTCAAGAAAATCAGTGGAAGTGTACTTACTCTTTTTCCTACTTGGATCTGGGTTTGTATAATTTGTTTTCACGTAGTTATTGGTAGCTAGCTACACTGTATGCAATGCACAGGATGTTTCCATGTTATACAGGATATTCAGAAAGTATTCAGACTCCTCTCATTAATCTACACTCAGTCCCCCATAATGACAAAGTGAAAACAGAATTTTAGAAAAGTCTGTGAATTTATTAAAAATAAAACGCTGAAATATCACATGTACCATTTACTCAGTACTTTGTTGAAGCACCTTTTGGCAGCAATTACAGCCTCAAGTCTTTTTGGGTATAATGAGATAAGCTTTGCAGGATTTTCTGCTATTCTTCTTTGCAAATCCTCTCAAGCTCAGTCAGGTTGGATGGGGACCGTCAGTGGACAGCCATTTTTGTAGGTCTCTCCAGAGATGTTCAATAGGGTTCAAGTTGGGGCTCTGGTTGGGCCACTAGGACATTCACAGAGTTGTCCCTAAGCCACTCCTGTGTTGTTTTGGCTGTGTGCTTAGGATCGTTGTCATGTTGGAAGGTGAACCTTCGGCCCAGTCTGAGGTCCTGAGTGATGTGGAACAGGTTTTCTTTGAGAATATCACTATACTTTGCTCCTTTCAGCTTTACCTCAACCCTGACCAGTCTTCCTGTCTCTGCTGCTAAAACACACTCCCACAGCATGATGCTGCCACCACCATGCTTCACTGTTGGGATGGTATTGGGCAGGTGATGAGCGGTGCCTGGTTTCCTCCAGACAAAACATTTAGAATTAAGGCCAAACAGTTCAATCTTGGTTTCACCAGACCAGAGAATTGTTCTTCACAGTCAGAGTCCTTTTTAGGTTCTTTTTTGCAAACTCCAAGCATGCTTTTATGTGTATTGCACATAAAAGTCTTCTGCCTAGCCACTGTGCCATAAGGCCTTGTTCACACCAAATGCAGAGCAGATCTGCATGAGTTTCTGCACACGCAGTGCAGTGGGTTGTGCCGCGTTTTTGATGTGTTCCGGGTCGTTTTTGGTAAAATGGGCTTTCAGTGCGTTCCAGGCGTTTGCATGCATTTTTTATTCATTTGCATGCGTTCCAGAGCAGGTAAAATAGGGCCTGCTGCAGTTTTTTTACCTGCTCTGAAACTGAACGCTGCGATGTGAACTGGAGCTAAAAATACCATTTGGAATACATTGGACGCAGTTTTGCTCCGGTCTGTAACTTCTCTGCACCTGCTCCGCGCTTGGTGTGAACAAGGCCTAAAGGCCGGATTGGTGGAGTGCTACAGTGATCTCTGTCCTTTTGGAACTTTGTCCCACTCCGGATCTCTGGAGCTCAGTCAGAGTGACCATCGGGTTCTTGGTCACCTCTCTTACTAAGGCCCTTCTCCCCTGATGGCTCAGTTTGGCTGGGCCACTATGTCTTGGAAGAGTCCTGGCTGTGCCAAACGTCTTTCATATGAGAATTATGGAGGTCACTGTGCTCTTGGGAACCTTCAGTGCAGCAGAATGTTTTTGTAGTCTTCCCTAGATCTGTGCCTTGCAATACTCCTGTCTCTGAGCTCTGCAGGCAGTTCCTTTGACCTCATGGCTTTTTCTCCGATACAGTATGCATTATCAGCTGTGAGGCCTTCTATAGAGAGGTGTGTGCCTTTCCAAATCTTGCCCAATCAATTTAATTTACCACAGGTGGCCTGCGATCAAGGTGTACAAACATCTAAGAGAAATGGGAGGCACCTGAGCTAAATTTCAAGTGTTGTTACAAAGGGTGTGAATACTTATGCCAATGTGATATCTCAGTTTTCCTTTTTCATACATTTACAAACATTTCTAAAATTCCGTTTTCACAGTGTCATTATGTGGTATTAAGTGTAGAATAATGAGAAACAACTGTAGTATCAGGCTGCAACATAACAATATTGGAAAAAGGTAAGAGAGGCTGTAAAATTGCAGGATGACTTTTATTTTACTGTATATCTCACTTTGTTGTACAGACTCCATGGAGTGGACCATGTTAATGGCAGACGGCTCAGAAGAGAACGCTAACTGGCCAAGACCAAGAGCAGGACATTGTGCAGTCACAGTTGGAAAACGCCTGTATATATGGAGTGGAAGGGATGGTTACAAGAAGGCATGGAATTATCAAGTGTGTTGTAAAGACCTTTGGTACATTGACACAGGTAGGACACCCAACTGATACAGGTTACTTTATAAAATAGGACTTAATTTAAAGAAATTAATGTAAGCTCTTTTGTGCATTTTTTTTTTTTCCAGAAAAGCCATCAACATCCTCACAAGTTCAGCTAATCTTGGCTACCACAAACTCATTTCATGTGAAATGGGATGAACTGCCAACTGTTGAAAGGTATCTTCTACAGCTAAGCCCGGAATTACCAGTGTCTCCGTGTGATGGAAAACCTGCCCAATTCAGTGAACTTTCAACACAGAGTTCTTGTATTTTGCCATATGCTGCTCCTTTACACCTACTTCAGAGTGGACTTTCATACCCTCAAAATGTGGAGGAAAGTAAGTTACAGTCTGGTAAACAAACATGTTTTAGTCCCATGGCGGAAATAGTACATCAACTGCTTTAATATATGACAATGGATGGTAAATTTCTTGTACAAAACTATTTCAGAATCATAAAATATATTGGAGCTGCTATACTTTTTTACATTCATGCTGTTGCAGATAAATCATCAGCGTGATATTGAGAGAGATGGAGAGAGAGGGGAGCTATTCACACCTTGT